CTATAAACACCAGTGAAATCGCAGGTTTGGCCCCCAAACAGGAAGAGTTTCCAAAGTATTTTATGTACGTTTTGATCCTCATAACAACCCTTTGAGACAGATACTTGATATTATTCTACTCATTTTACAGATGAGAAAACTGAAGCTTAGAGAAATCACTTGTCCAAGGTCATCTTGCTAATCTATGTCAGAACAGGGATCATGTAACAATTGAATAATACGTCCACATCCCTATTCAGGGGTGTTCAGGCTCATGGATCCTCAGGGTGAGTGCCTGGGTGGCATCAGTAGGACTGATTAAGAAAACAGAGTCTGCAAAACAAAATATTTCTGTCCCTCAGAAGCCCCTCCCTCTCCCTCCTGATCCTTTCCCCAGCCTCCTGTCTGATGGGTGCTGAGGCTGTTTCTGGGATCTGTGGAGATCAATGAAAAACAAGTTTGGAGAAGAGGCTGCCAGGTCCAGCTGGCTGAGATTGACTCGGCCAACAAGCCCAGAGAATGGAAATAGAGTGTAAGCTTCTTGAGGGCAAGGACCATTTTCATTTTTTTTCTTTAAATCTTCGGAGTATAGCACAGTATGGCAAATAGTAAGCACTTAATAGGTGATGGTTGGGTGAGATGGAATTGAATTGACTTGAGGAATTGTGGGTGCCAAGCTTTGGCCCTCCCTTGGTTTGCATTCACACCTCATCGTTTCCCAGTTAAAGGGTTTTATGCTTCACTGGTCCAGAGGTTTATGGGTAAGCGCCTAGGGGCATTGTTATTCTTCTCAATTCTCTTTTCTTTTATTGACCTAAGGCTGCTCTCTGTGAAGTCTGGCATGCCTGTAGGACTCTGCCTTTGGGTATGGCCTAGAGAGAACAATTTCTGTTTGACCTCACCAATCACTTACCGGCTTTCAATTGATTCCTCTTTTCTCCTGATCAATATATTTTTGGTTTGTTCCTAGAACAATGTTCTGGGAATTTTTCCCCTGGGGTGTATCTGCTTGGGCCTACCGGGAAGAATACAGAATTAGGTAACTCCATCACTGATTTTCTTGGGCAGGTGATGTCATCTGTGTATGCACTTCTGCACAAGCATCCTTCCTCAGGCCTCTCTCCCAACCCCCACATTCCCATTAAATCTCCCTTGGCTCTAAATGAGTAGCCACTTATGGAATGCTCTGTGCTGGCACTAGCCCTAAGCAGAATTGCAGTGTAGGAAGACTGAATCTTACTTCTCTTTCCCCTTTTCAGCAATTTCTCCTCTTTCCTTTCCCCATCTCTCACTTTGCCCGCTGGCTGTCCAGGGAGGCTTGCCAAGGATACTGAAGCTAAGCACTGGATTACGCCCAGGGAACACAGAATCATACAAACAGAAGGGACTAATTCTAACTCTACTTGACCAAGAATCCTTTTTAAAAATATATGTAAATATTTTATTGATATTTTACTGTCACGTTGTCCTCCCTTCCCAAATTGACAGCCACTCATAGCACCCTCTCTTCTAATAAAGAAGTGCAGTTAGGCAAAAGAAAGCAATTGATCATCCATGCCTGAGGGTGCGCCTCATTCTGAACCTTTGATTCAATGATCGTCTCTAAATAAATGTCTCCCGCATCTATATATCCAGCCCCATTCTCTTTCCTGAACTCCTGGGTCTTGAGTCATGAATTATGTATTAGACATTTTCAACTGGATGACCCACAGATATGTCAAACTCACTATATTCAAGACAGAACTAATTTTCTTTCCCCTCTAAATACACCCAGCTTCTGGACTTCCTTATTGCTGTTGAATGGACCGCCATTTTTTCAGTCACCCAGGTTCACAGCATCCATATCAGCCCTTCTATGTGCTATCAGCATGTAAACTCCTTCAGGGTAGGGACTGTCTTCACTTTTTGTATTTTTATTTCCAGTGTTTAGCATAGTGCTTGGCATACAGGAATTAATAAATGTTTTTATAATTTTTTTTTCATTCATTCATCTTTGCTTCCTTTCTCATACTCCCTCAACATCCCATCAGTTGCCCGATTTGCCTTTTTATCAACATGACAACTTTTGCCTGACCCCTTTTCTCCACGCACATGGCCATCACTCGAGTTATTACCTCTCCCAAGGATCGTTTGGTCTCCCTGCTTTAAGCCTCTCCCCATGACTCTATATCTATTTTTGTATATACCAATAAACTACATATTTATCTCTCCTGATAGAATGGAAACTCCTTGAAGGCAAGAACTGTTTCATTTTTGTCCTTTCCCCCCAGCATCCAACACACTTCCTGACACACAATTGGTACTTAAATTCTTATCTGATTGGTTGATTTCTTTCTTCTGTGCTGAGTAGGGAGCTATACCTCATCTTCACGCCTCCAAAACCACAATTGGTCATTTCCGTGAGGTCTGATGTTTTCCGATGTTATTTTCCTTTCCATTAATGTAGTCATTGTGTAATTGTTCTCTTGGCTTTCTTTATTTTGTTCTGTATCCTTTCATCCAAGTCTTCCCATGTTTTTCTGAATTCCACTCTTTTGTTATTTCTTTTGGCACACAAATAATATTCCATTACATTCACATACCGCAATTTATTGCCATTCCCCCCCAATTAATGAAGACCTTATTTCTCTTTTGGCTAACATGCAAAACAATGTCACTACGAGTATTTTGATAAATATATAACCCTTCCCTCTGTCTTTGAGCACTGTAAGGTACATGCCCAGTAGTGTTATCACTAGAGCAAATGCTACATACAATTTAGTGTCTTCTCTGAGATAGTTCCAAATTGATATCCCAAATAATTAGACCGATTCATAGTTTTACCAACAGTGCATTAATATGTCTGTTTTCCCACAGTCACTCAAACACTGACTCAGTCTTTTATCATGTTTGCCAATATTATGGACGTAAGGTGAAAGGTCAGAGTTGTCTTAATTGCATTCCTCTTACTACTGGTGGTTCGGGAGCATTCTTTCATGTGGCTGCTAACAGTTTGGCATCCAAGAATCCCTCTTTCAACTATCCTGAATGTAGTAATGTAGAAAGCTTTTGCCTGAAAACCTCCAGAGAGGTTCTCTTAATCTTTTAATCCTGATCTTTCTTACTGTTTGTGGTATAAGAAATTATGATGGCTTTAGAGGAACCTAGGAAGACTTGAATGAGCTGATGCAGAGTGAAATGAGCATGATCAGGAGAACAATTTCTATAACGACATTGTAAACAAATAACTTTGAAGTACTTAAGAACTCTGTTCAGGGGCATGACTAACCATGGCTCCAAAGGATGAAACAGACATATCATCATAGAGATTGCGTCAACTGTGGGACTCATACTTCATCAGGATGCTCATGCTTCGTTGCCTCTGCCCCTCTGATTGGAGGATCGAAGGTCAAGGCAAAATCTTCCCAAAGCCTATATTTAAAGACGGTTCAGAAGCCCAGCCAACTCTTCGTTTCCCACCAGCTGCACTGCTTGGTTTTGACTCTACCATCATCACCACACTCCCTTGCCAGGTACCCTCTTCCTCCCTTCTCTTTTTCAGGATGTGTCTTCCCCCATTAGATTGTAAACTCTTTGAGGGCGGGGACCATCTCTTTCTTATTTGTTTCTCCAAAGTTTAGTGCAATGCCTGGCACATAGTAGGTGGTTAATAAAACTTAATTTAATCTTATTATATTGTATTGCATACACCTGCCAAACAGGTGGACAGAATGAGACATACTTTTTTGTTTGTTTTTGGACAAGACCAGTGCCAGAATTTGTTTCTCTTGACTATGCATATTTGTTATGAGAGTTTTGTTTTTATTTTTATTTTTTCCAATAAGTCGAGGAGATGAGAGGGAGAGAAAATAGAATTTTTAATTTAAAATTTTGTTGAAAGATGTTTATCCTAATCACATTATACAAATTAAAACAAACAACCTGATCATTCTCTTAGGATCTTCTGAGGATACTGAATAGGAACAGCTTACCTTTATTTAGCAGTTTTTTCACAACCATCCTATGGGGTCACTAGTGTAAGTATATTTGATAAATGAGGAGACTAAAGCTCACAGTTTTTTTGCATATATGTTTTTATTAATTTATTTTGATTTATCAACAATCACTTCCATAAGCTTTTGAGTTTTAAATTTTTCTCCCCTGCCCTCCCCAAGATGGCACACAATCTGATATAGGCTATACATATACATTCCTATTAAACGTATTTTCACATTAGTGATGTTGTAAGTAAGAATTAGAACCAATAGGAGGAACCACCAGAAAGAGGAAACAAAACACAACAGAAGAAAAAAATATAGCAAATACTATAAAACACAAAGATTTTAAGTTTCTTGCTAAAGGTCACACAGTTTGTAATCCAGAAGAAGCTAGGGCTCTTGAGGCAAATGTCTATCTGCTAGGCGGTGCTATCTCTGCAAAGCTACTGTTCAGGTATGTAATCCTACTGGAAGGAGGGATTAGGAATGCCTGGAATCAAGCTGGAAGTTCCCTCTTTTCAACTGAGACCCTTACACAGCAATACCTCATTTTATGGCGCTTTGTAGATACCGTATTTTTACAAATTGAAGGTTTATGGCAACCCTGTGTTGAGCAAGTCTATTGGTGCCATTTTTCTAGCAGCATTTTCTCACATGGTGTCTCTGTGTTACATTTTGTAGCATTTTTTTGTAGTATTTGAATTTTTGTATTGTATTTGAAATTTTTGCATTATTATTATTTCTGTTCTGGTGATTTGATCAGTGATCTTTGATGTTACTATTGTGATTGTTTTAGTGGACCACAAACCACACTCAGATAAAAGGGTGAACTTAATTGATGAATGCTATGTGTTTTCTTAGTGTTCCACCAACCCTCTGTTCCTGTTTGTCTCCCTCTCCTCGTGGCCCTATTCCTTGAGACACAACAATATTGAAATTAGGCCATTTAGTAACCCTGCAATGGCCTCTAGGTGTTCAAATGAAAGGAAGAGTCAGTCAATGTGGCAAACTTCATTGTTGTCTTATTTCCAAAAATTGCCACAGATACCCCAACCTACAGCAACCACCACCCTGATGAGTCAGCAGCATCACCATCGAGGCAAGACCCTCTACTGGCAAAAAGATTGCAGCTCACTGAAGGCTCAGATGATGGTTAGCGGTTTTTAGCAATAAAGTATTTTTAATTAAGGTATGTACATTTTTAGACATAATACTATTGCACACTTAACAGACCACAGTATATTATAAACATAACTTTTATATGCATTGAGAAACCAAAAAAATTGTGTGACTTGCTTTATTGTGGTGGTCTGGAACTGAACTTGCAATATATCTGAGGTATGCCTACATTTGAATCTATCCAGGTACTCTTTCTGAGACTCTGTTAGTTATCCTGGATGAAACCTTAATGATCTTGAAGCCTCTACCCGAGAGAGCAAAGTGGGAATTTTATGCCCAGGGGAAAAACTAGCAAGAGAGGTGGAAGGGTAGTCTTTGAGTACCTTGGAAAGGATCTAGATAACTGCCTATGTAATAATGAGGTCAGTTTGTGTGTGTGATTTGGGCAGCTGTGACTCTGTAAAGGATTGTCTATCTTTTTTCAAAGGCTAACATCATCGTAGACTGCATCAAGAGGTGCTAAGTGTCCAGAGTCAGGGAGGTTTACTGCCTTAGTGAGATTACATCTGGAAATGGAATGGTGGAGGAGAAAGAGCACTGGATTTGGAGGTGGAGGAACTGGCTCTTCCATTTATTACTTGTGTGACATGGACAGGTTAGTTCGTCTCTGAGCCTCAGTTTCCGCATCTGTAATATGAGGGAGTTGGACTATATGGCCTCAGAGGACCCTTTCAGTTCTAGATCTATTATCTTTTGACATAGGCAAATCACTTTACCTCCCTTGGCCTCAGTTTCTCCATTTGTAAAATGAAGGGGTTAGACTAATGGCCTCTGAAGTACCTTCTAATTCTAGACCTTTGATCCCATGAGTGACTCATTTGGCATCCAAGGATTTTGGAGCTGGAGGGGACCTGAAGGATTCATTCATCTCCACCTTTACCAATGAAGGAACAAAGGCCTTAGAGGGATGAAGCCTTTCTCAAGGGCCAACAGCTAGTAGTGTTACAGGCAGGATTAGAACCCAGATCTTCTAACTCCCTGTATTCTTTCCTCTCTATGCTATTTATTTCCTTTTAATGACTGAATTCTCAGTGGAGATAAGGTATCATATTCTCACTGGACATAGAGTCAATAAAACCATGGCTTTATTTTTATAATTCCTTTTTTTTTTTTTTTTTTTTTGGTGAAGCAGTCAGGGTTAAGTGGCTTGCCTAGGGTCACACAGCTAGTTTCAAGTGTCTGAGGCCAGATTTGAACTCAGGTCCTCTTGATTCCAGGTCCAGTGCTCTATCCACTGCACAATCTAGCTACCCCAATTCTTATAATTCTTCATAGCAGCAGCCATCAGAGGGGTCCAAGGTCAACAAGTCAACACTTCCCTGACTACTTCACTACATCTGTATTTTACTTTAATTTTTATAAATTTGATTTTTCTGAAAATATAGCTCTGTGTTTTTTATGATTAGGTGTACAAATGCCTGGAGAATGTAAGTTCTTTGAGGTCAGGAACTATGTCTTTTTGATTGTTGTTGGGGGTGGTCTTTCTAGTGCTCAAGGCCTGCATAGTGCTTGGCATACGGTTGTTATTGTTGAGTTGTTTTCAGTTGTGTGCAACTCTCCTGACTCCAGGACTGGCGTTCTATCCACTGTATCACTTAGCCACTCCAAAGCCGGTTATTAATTCTTAAATAAGATGTCAAATCTTATCTTGTTTTCTTTTCCTTTTCTTGCACATTTCTAGGACTTGGCCATCCCCCTTTGCCTCAACATGTGTTTATAATTAATTTCCTTTTAAAAACTTTCCTTATTACATTTCACTCCATCTGTCTCATGCTATTGGTTGGGGTTTCCTCAGCTTGAAATGCCTGGGTATGCTTCTCAAATGTTAGTTATTCTAGTTCTCAGAGGAACCTCTGACACCAATCTCTCTGTGCAAATAGAGGTCCAGAAAGTCCCTGGCAGACAAGGCACATTCTCTGCTAGGAGCAGTGACAGTATGAGAAGGACTGGGGACAATGATAGATAGATATGTGCTATGGTCCCTCTGGCTTTGACATTCAATGCACTCACATTCCGTGTTCAGGCTCTGTCATCCTTTCAAAGGACTCTGATCCCTGACATTCTATGTCCAAAGGTCTCTTCAAGCCCTGACATTCCATGTTCTAACATTCTGTATTCTCAAAGTCTATGTTCTAAGGTCCTTAACAACTTAGATCTTACATATTCTTTTATTATTATTATTATTTATTTAACATTCTTTTCTTTTTAAATTTTAAATTCCATATTCTCTCCCTTCCTCCTACCTCTCCCCCACCCACTGAGAAGGCAAACAATATGATATCAATTATACATGTGAAATCATGTAAAACATATTTCCATATTAGCCGTATCACAACTCTCCCCCACCCCCAAAAAAAGAAAGTGAGAAAAATATACTTCAATTTACACTTAGAGTTCATCAGATCTTTCTCTGGAGATAAATAGTATTTTTTCATCGTAAGTCCTTTGGATTTGTCTTGGATATTGATCAGAGTAACCAAGTGTTTCATAGTTGAGCATCAATACAACATTGCTGTTGGTGTCTAATGATCTCCTGGTTCTTCTCACTTCATTTTGCATCAGTTCATATAGGTCTGGCCATCCTTTTTCCTGAAACCACTCCTCTCATCATTTCTTTTTGCATGATAATACTCCATCACAACCCTATGGCACAACTTGTTTGGTCATTCCCCAATTGATGGGCATCCCTTCTATTTCTAATTCTTTGCCATCACAAAAAGAGCTCCTATAAATATTTTTGTACATGCAGATCCTTTTCCTTTGATCTCTTTGGGGTACAGATCTAGTAGTGATATTGCTGGATCAAAGGATATGCACAATTTTATAGCCCTTTGGGCATAGTTCCAGATCATTCTCCAGAATGGTTGAACCAATTCACAATTCCACCAACAATTTATTAGTATACCTGTTTTCTTTTTATCTCCTCAAGCAACTGTCATTTCTGGTAGGTGTGAGGTGGTACTTCACAGTTGTTTTAATTTGACTTTCACCAATCAATAGTGATTTAGAGCATTATTTCATGTGACTATAGATAGCTTTGATTTCTTCTGCTGAAAACTGCCTGTTCATATCCTTTGACCATTTATCAATTAGTAAATGGCTCTTATTTTTATAAATTTTACTCAGTTCACTGTATATTTGAGAAATGAGGCCTTCATCAGAGAAACTTGATATAAAATTTTTTATATTACTTTATTGTTTATGGTATCGTTTGGCAAAATGTAGTTTCCCTGCTTATCTCTTTTATTTAGATCTCTTTTTGCTTTTGCTTTATCTGAGACCATGATTCTACCCTTTGCCTTTTTTTAAACTTCAGCTGAAGTATATTAGATTTTGCTCCAGCCTTTTATTTTAACTCTGTGTGTCTTTCCATTTCAAGCCTCATGTCTCTTGTAAATAATATTTTCCTGGATTCTGGTTTCTAATCCATTCTGCTGCTTCTATTTTATGGGTGAGTTCATCCCATTCACATCGACAGTTATGACCTTTGTTTTTGTTGTTCAGTTGTTTCTGACTCTTTGTAACCCACCTTTTATCATTCCCCTCTCTACTCCTACATATCACTAATCCCCTTCCCCTCCTGTTTCCCTCTTGGGTAAGATAGATTTCTATACCTACCTGAATATATGTATTCTTCCCTCTTCGAACTAATTCTGATGAGAATGAGGTTCAAGCATTGCCTGCTACTTGCCCCTGCCATTTCCCCCTCCACTATAAAAGCCTTTCCTTCTCCTGTGTGAGAAAAACTTCCCATTCTACCACTCTCTTCCCCCTTCTCCCAGTGTATCCCTCTTTCTTACTCTTTTTTTTAATTATCCCAACATAATTGACTCCCATTCATGCCCTCTGTCTATGTAGACTCCTTGCAACTGCCCTAATAACTATAAAGTTCTTAGCAGTCACATATATCATCTTCTTGTATAGGAATATAAGCAGCTTAACTTTATTGAGTCTCTTATGATTACTCTTTCATGTTTACCTTTTAATGCTTCTCTTGAGTCTTGTGTATGAATGTCAAAATTTCTTTTCAGTGCTGATATTTTCATCAGGAATGCTTGAAAGTCCTCTATTTTATTAAATATTCATTTTTCCCCTTGAAGGATTATACTTAGGTGTTCTGGGTAGGCTATTTTTGATTGAAGTCCTACCTTCTTTGCCTTCTGGAATATCATATTCCAAGCCCTTCACTCCTTTAACATGGAAGCTGCTAAATCTTGTGTGATCCTGACTGTGATGTCACAGTATTTGAATTGTTTCTTTCTGGATACTTGCAATATTTTCTCCTTGACCTGGGAGCTCTGGAATTTGTTTATAATATTCCTGGGAGTTTTCATTTTGGATCTCTTCTAGGAGGTGATCAATGGATTCTTTCAATTTCTATTTTACCTTCTTGGTCTAATACATTAAGGCAGTTTTCCTTTATAATTTCTTGAAAAATGATATCTAGGGTCTTTTTTTTTTTAGTCATGACTTTCAGGTAGTCCAATAATTCTTCAGTTATCTTTCCTCAATCTATTTTCTAGGTCAGTTGTTTTTCCAATGAGATATTTCACATTTTCTTCTATTTTTTATTCTTTTGACTTTGTTTTATTGTTTCTTGAAGTCTCATGGAGTCATTAGCTTCCATTTGCCTAATTCTAATTTTTAAGGAATTATTTTCTTCATTGAGTTTTTGTATCTCTTTTTCCCTTTGGCCAATTCTGCTTTTTAAATAGTTCTTTTCTTCAGTGAATTTTTGTACTTCCTTTTCCATTTGACCTATTCTAATTTTGTATTTTACCATTAGGTTAATTCTGGTTTTTTTTTTTGTTTGTTTTTGGTGAGGCAGTTGGGGTTAAGTTACTTGCCCAGGGTCACACACTAGTAAGTGTCAAGTGTCTGAGGCTGGATTTGAACTCAGGTCCTGCTAACTCCAGGACCAGTGTTCTATCCACTAATTTTGTTTTTTTAAGGCATTATTTTCT